CTCTGCCAAATCAAGCAGCAGCAGGAGTCATTTGACGCCACCATGCAGGATCAGGTCTCATGGAACGATATTCAGCCGGTCTTGCATCAGACACACTGTGAGCTGGTATCTGCGACCACTCGGCTCTGGAACACGATCGATGCTCTTCAGAATCGTAGACCGGCGCCCTATTTGCCTGGCTCTGAAGTAATTCACGGAACTTGGCCCGACCAGGATGGCCCGCTGGGGAATTTGGGTCACAATGCCCTACCCGGATTCTCCGCATCGAGTAATTACCCACTTGTTACTCAGCAGGTGCCAGCTCCAACCAACCAGTATGAATCGCTTGTGTGAACCATGACAGATCCAGAGTTTGGAACGGCTTTGGCAGTGGCGGAACTTCATAGTCAATTTCATATAACCACCTCGCAGGTAGATAGCTCAAGGCATAATCTTTAGCAACACCATCGCCATCCCAGGATAACAGCAAAATTGAAAATAAATGTACGAATTGATTTATCTTCCGCTATAGTAGAACGAATTTTCACGTAAGAACATAGATGATCAGGTTTTGTTCCGCCAATTGGAGGGAAGAGAGGATCCTCCATGGCCGCTGGTTAGCAGCGCGGCCCACAGCCAGGGTGGGCCATGATTGTCCGGTGTGACTTGAATGATCGCCAGCCAATTGAACTTCCGAAAATCTTAATCGGGTGTTTTATCGTATCAGGTTGCGACTTCCAGCCGATAGGAAGTTCATCTCGTCACACCGGATTTCTATCGACGCTTTCTCTTCTGACCCCCGCAGGGCTGCGGTTATATACAACTTCAAGCGAGAGTCTGCCGAGGTGAAATATAATTGTTCGCAAAGCACAACGGAATAATAGTACCTCAGCTAACAAAGGCTGACATCGGGCTCTAGGGTATAGGCTTAATTCCATCATATTTCGATCTGAATCACTTCTGCGACCGAAGCGATCGTCTAGATATATCACCCTCAGTAGCATTGCTCTCCCCCTTTTTGGCCCTCATTTCAATAGCCGTCTCCACGACAGCCAACCGACTGCGGATTTCCTCCAGATCACTGCGAATGTTTCCAATCCAGCTGTTCTGATTATTCAATGAATTCTGCATGGACCTGCAAAATAATCAGCCTGTGTTCTTTCTCTGGTGGGTCGCACGACTGACTTCGTTCGGACATCTAGTCTAAGCGTTGTAAGTCAGCATGTCACAAAACACCATTCCAAGGGAGCGGATTGACACTCACTCTGCAAGACATTGGAAGGCGATCATATTGCAGTTCTCGGAGAGATCCTGTCCGGGTTGTTCCAGTTCTTCGTCTGGTCTCGGGACCGTACTGCAGGTGTGCAGAAGACTTTCCTGGCCATCATCCGCTGCCATTCCGTTGCGGTAATTGCCAAAAGAGTCGTCCTCCTCAGAACGCTCGTCCTCCGTAGTATCCCCCGCCGCGGATCTGGGCGGAATCCAGATATCCTCAGATCCGGAGGATGACAGGGACAGTGCACGTTGTAATCGGCTCCGAAAGCTTTGTCGTTGATCAGTAAACGGATGTTTTTGAATTGCACCCATAGCTGAATCTGTGTCAGGGTGAGATAACGAGTTTTCAAGTCAGATGTTACAGGAGAAGTCGCTGAGGCTTTTATGAAGAATTTGCTCTCCAAACCGGAGTTTGCGATAGGGTTTGCAAGGTGCACTATCTTCCATCAGTACGTACCGCAATCGTCGCTTGATTTGGAATACACTTTAGCCAATCAGGCACGAAAGTCATTCAACTTTAGAGGAAGGGACTTCGTCAGAAGGCAAAGTTTTTGCCGCTGAAGTCTGTATCATGTTACCTTACTCAGTACCCAGTGGGGCACGGGTTGCGAACTCATTACTATGTTCATTTCCACATATAGTCATTATATTGAAGATTTCTAGAAGTACGAAACTGAAGGTTGGTCGTTATTGTAGCTATGAATGTGTTCGGACGCTCGGAGTCCGGTGGATTCTGAAATACGGAGTCGATAGTTCACAACTCAGACTGACCGAATCGACTGTCCAGAGTGGTCCATGGGTCATGTCACAAGCCTTTAGAAGATTTCTGATGAACCAAGGGTACTATCTCAGCTTTTACCGGGACCTGGAGGGGATTTAGGCTCACCTTTCCCATCCATGGGAAGTTCAAGTCGTGCCATTGCCTGAAAAGATCTCTCTGGGTCCTGTTAGTTCATGCGAGCGCTATGTCTACTCGAAGCGAGGTAGTCTGGTCGGAATGGGAGGAGAAGAACCTTCTCTCCTGGCTGGACGCCCATCGGGCGCTGTCGTGGAAAGCCCGCTCCGACGCGTATTATGAACAATATCAGGTGGACCGAAGCGTTGAGTCTCTACGAGGGAAAATGTACCATATTTTGCGCAAGCAACTTCGCACTGGTGCCAGGTCGCCTAAGCTTTCAGGCAATCGAAACCGAGCAGGAACTGTTCGTCGCTCGGTCGGCCGTAAGGCTTCATTGGCAACTCTCCCAAATAAAAGGCCTGCGCAAAGCAACATTAAAAAATGGTTTCAAACAATCTTAACGGCCGAGCCTAGCCATATCGACAGCATTGAATCAACCAAGACGAAAGGTTGGAGACGAGGTATGAGCTGACCTTCTTCCACCGTTTGTTACAAGCTGATCATCAATCACAGGCCGCGCGATGTCATTACTCCGTCAGTCACGGCGTGAAGAAACACGATCGTCATCGCAGATTTGGGACTACGTACATCGTGTCTCTGCAGCCAGGAAGCTGAGATACCGATGCGCGGAACGTCCATGCTACCAGCAGTTCGCTGGCATGCGCGCTACATTATGATCTCCAAGCAACTATAGTAACTATCTCGATGAATTAGTGTTGTTGGATGATGCTACAAACGGAAGATGTGGCAGCTGAGCAATCAAGATGCAACATGATAGATATCTAAGTGGTTGCTAGTTTCAAATATGAACAAGCATCAATCCTCGGAATCCCAACAATAGATCACAACAATAGCGAGGGAGTTACAAAGTCATGGCTTGACAAAGTTACCCCAAACACGGTGGAACATTACCGGGGTCGTCCATCAATCGCTGACCCCTGAAGTAGAATTTCGATGAACCATGGAAACGGTCACTCACTCGGTGAGAGAATGCGGCTGTCATGAATGATCGACGAGAAAGGCTTATCTACAAATTTCTGCCCCACTTGCTTTCTAGGTTGCTCATGATTAAGTCCTACAACATAACAGAGAAGTCCAGAGAATTGGCATAGAATCACCAGTCTCAACCTGCTCATGTACAGGACATTGGACCAACGCAGTACTAGAAAGATTCTCTATCGCTAGAGACATGATCAAGATGCGCAAGGATGTTTGAAATAAGGTTAGGGGCCGCAGGAGGGCCGGCCCACAACGTCATGTCCGGGAGCCAATCGGTTCCTCGGGTTTAGATCCCGGGGTTTAGTGCAAAAACCGGAGATATTTTTACATAAGCGCATGTGGTCTGTCTATGATTGGCATAGTTTCTACAAGACATCTGCTAGACATATCAGACTAGCGATCGAATTGGGTAGATGGAGAGTATTTGTTGGGCTCAAAGAGAGTATAAGCATCAGGGGAGGTGCAGGACAGAAGACAGCTTCTAGAACGTTTTACAGACCAGGTAGACAAGGAGCAGCTTGCCACTTGACAGGGGAACTTGCTCTCCTGTGACAGCAAACAGGAGAGCATAACCACGGATCGGGTTTTAGCCTACCATTCCGTTGCCAGAATTCGCATGATATTCCAAATACCTCACTGCCTCGACCGTACCTCGACCGTACCTCCCAAGCAACAAAGCTGTGTTCCATCGGACACTGACGGCCATCAGGCTTGGGCTTGTGGATCGTGTCTAGACCTTTGCAAGTCCTTTCAATTTCTCCTCTGGGCCACAAATAGAACCTCCTTGATCTACTGTCCCGTGGGTCGTCGCTGGGATCTGCATCGCACCCCGTACCTGCGTCTGTCTAAATTCGCGCATGGTGTTTGATTCGTCCGTCGGGTGCTATTTGTATCCAGAGTCTCATAAATGTGATAGTAGCGTTGCAATCTTGCGAGGGGGTGGCGATCACGAGAACCTAGCTCGTTAACCTTGGTTGCAACAGTTCACATGGTTGTCCTGGAAACTAGGCTCAGTTTCCTATGGAAGGCTCTCCAATAAGCTCTGGACCTTTGTCATGCCGCCCCAAAGAAAGACAATCTTCATCCCGAGTTTGAGAGTATGTCAGTGTCTGTCGGCCAGGGAGTAGAGATTCTAATAAGACAACATTAGCTGGCTGCGGCTGGCTGCGATTAGCCAGGAAAGAAACAGCATTCAGCGGCACACGGCTAGCAATGGACAGGATTGATTCTAGCGAGACGAAATGGTCTCCCAGTCAACCGCAGGTACACTTCAGCGTTTCTGCCGGCCACCGATTTTCCATCATATTATTTCGGCACCTGTTGAAGCGCTTCAACCCTCATGAAAGGGACGGTGAGCGTGGCTAGAACAGGCAGATGTAGAGTGCCACCGCGTTGAGCGATTTAATTGCAAACTCAATGATGTGTAGGAATCATATTCTTGCGGCGTTGCTTTCTTCCAACAGTTGATGAAAGTGGTTCCTCGTACCCAACGCACGATTTGAGAGAAATGATCCCAGGTCGAAACTTGAGCCTGTAGGCAACAAAGTCTCCAGACACCGTTTCAACGTCGTTCAACTTGCTTCAACGCCAACCAAAGGACTGTGGTTCTCGCTACCCTCGGCGCAATGGTTCCTTGGTAGAGACTTGACCGAAAAATTATAAAAGGGGCCGGATTCCCAGCCCAAAATTCTCAGGAC